ATCAGTGCAAAAAAAGGGAGGAGAGGGTAAGGACATAGGAGAGGAAAGTAGATTAGGGGAGAGGAGAGGAGACAAGTGGAGGAATCAAGAAACAAAGGGGAGAACTTGGATGAGGATACGGTGATAATAAAACAGGAATAAACTGAAAGAAATCTGAAATCATGAACAATCTAATTCAATATCTAATTGGATCATGAGAATATAAGTTACTAAACATGATGGCAAACTTTTTGCTGTAGTCGTCTTAAAATGATTCTCCTCCCTTAACTAAACACGTTTTTCATTATCCTGCAATCTGCCTCTTCTCCAGGTTTGCACCAGCCACTCCAGGTGAATGTCTATAAACTTGGATACTTTCTAACATTGCAGATATCTATGTTGAAATGTTAAAAGGGGCGAAATTCGAGTCAAGTCTAAGTGATTAAATTGGGTTTTTATGTTTATATCAGCAACTCACTGTGTAAAGTGAATTTTCAAGTGTTGGGTGCATGTGTGGACAAAGCTAATATCTTTTTTTTAAGAGTCTGTATTCATGTGAAGGTGGATCAAGGTTATATTTACACCTTAGTGAGAATCTCTCCAGTGAAACAAAATCTGAGTTCACGTTTTTGTTCCTGTGCTTAGCTGTAGATGTTACTCAAATGTCTGTGTTTTCATATATCAGTAACTGTTAGGAAACGGACAAAGGCCAGGATCCAAAAATGCAATTCTGACCAGGTGGTATGCGTTATGGAGGTCCAGTATAGTGAAGATGGTCGCTTCATGGAGTGGGCTGAACGCAGAGTCAAGCAGTGGCAGTGGGTACTTGTTTTTAATGGTAATGTCATTTAACCCTGTGTAATCAACACAGGGGCGCAAAGAACCATCCTTCTTTTCAACAAAAAAAAAGCCCGCCCCTACTGCCGAGGATGAGGACCTTATGAGGCCTGCTGCCACCGACTCAGTGATGTAGGTTTCCATGGCTTCTTTCTCGGGTTTACTCAGGTTGTACAGCTTACATGTGGGAAGGGGAGCTCCGGGGAGTAAATCAATCCCACAGTCATAGGGGTGGTGAGGAGAGAGTGAACAGGCCGCATCTTTACTGAATACCTCTTGTAGGTCGGGATAATCCCGAGGAATATTACTCAGGTCTATAGTCTCAGGTGGCCGTAAGGAGTGAGTAGATCTGGCTGGAAGTGCTGAATGGAGACAGTGGGCATGACAGTAAGCGCTCCAGCTGCGAATGGTGGAAGTGGACCAGTCTATATGGGGGTTGTGAAGTTGTAACCACAGGAGACCCAAGATAACTGGAGTGAGTTGGTAGTTTATGACAAAGAACTCTAAGTGTTCGTGATGATTTCCCGAGAGAGTCAGCTTTAGAGGAGAGGTTCTGTGGGTAAAAGTGTTTATGAGTCGTCCATCTATGGCTAGAACTTCCTTTGCGGAAGTCAGAGGGCTAACAGGCAGGTGATTTGCTTTAACATAGGCTTCATCTATAAAGTCATCGTCTGCCCCCGAGTCAATGAGAGTCTGCAACTCGTGTGATAGGTGGGTATCGTGTAGCACACCTTGAACCCGGATTTGGAAGGAAGAGGAGGAAAAGGTACGGCTCACCAGCGCCCCCTGACCTAACTGGCAAGGCCTGCCTTTTGGCACCTCTTTGCAGGTAGCGAGGTAGTGACCTCCGCAGCCACAGTAGAGCCAGAGCTTTTCTTGCATCCTCCTCTGCCATTCTGCTGCCGTGAGGCGAGATCGACCCAGCTGCATCGGCTCGTCCGGTGGAGGTGAGTGGTGTTCGGGAGCGAGGTGCGAGCCGGCGCAGTCTCCAGGGCTGCAGACACTGGAAGCTGGTGAACGGCGAGTCTGATCCGCTCTCCTCTCCCTCCGTCTCTCTCTGAGTCTGTTGTCTATGCATATGCTTACCTCTATTAGCTTGTTTAGGGAGGAGCTCTCGTCCCATACTGCCAACTCATCTTTTTTATTCTCTCGTTAATCCTTTGCGGAAAATGGCCCGGTGAGCGGTGTCCCCAAAGCCGCTGCTGGCCGCCAGAATGCGGAAGTTTATGGCGTACTGGGAGACTGGTAAACTGCCGTAGGTCTAATAGCTGACCCGTAGCTTCTCTACCCTGTACTGGGTGATCAAAAATTCATTTCATTTCCCCCGTGAATAGTCTGTTTATATTTCTGAACCCCCGGTAGTTACAGCTAGGGCCCAGAAGGCAGCCTGACCTGACAACAGACATCTTTGATTGTGTGGTAGCGTAAGTGGCTGGCTGTTGGCTAAATACCAAGGAGCACTGTAATAAGAACTCTGAGCATGTACCTAGATCCCCGGAGTATCTGGGAGGGATGGGAATAAATGGTTCCCTAGCTGACAGGGGAGAGGCAGCAGATGGCTTGGCGGGAGGAGGCGCTGGAGGAGGAGGTGCAAGAGCGGAGTAAGGGGGTTGATCCCGCATGGTCCCCAGCTCGCTTCTTAACTGGGAGACACTGGTTGTGAGCTGTTGCAAATGTTCCATGATTTGCTTGAAGGTGGACTCGTGTTTGCCCACTAACACACCTTGAGTGGATACAGCGTGTCTTAAATGGATCATCCGGCACTGAGTTGACAGAGGAGCTGGCATATAAAGCCAGGTAATTGACAACAACGAATCAGGTGTGTGCAATCAGTCCGGGCCAGCCCCGCCTCCCGCCGTGCCTCCAGCACTGCAGAGAGAGAGAGGGAGAGAGGGAGAACACACAGAGGAGAGGAACACAGGAAACCCAACTGCTGCATAAACTCAAAACCTCACAGTAACAGTGTGACCTGGATTCATACATGTGACCCCTTTGTGTCAGTCGAACACTCAGTCTGCCACCAAGACCATCACGGCGTACCACACCATCATGGTGTGATACGCCAGGGCCACTGCTAGGGACAGACACAGACTGCAGCGCATTGTGGGCTCTGCTGAGAAGGTGATCGACTGTAGCCTTCCATCTCTCCATGACCTGTACGTCTCCAGGACTCGGGGCCGAGCAGGTCGGATCGCAGCTGACCCTTCTCACCCTGCACACCGACTATTTGAGACACTCCCCTCAGGCAGGAGGCTACGGTCCATTTGAACACATGAACACTTTTTAACTCACTCACTTTAACTCTGTCACTTTAACTCCGTCACTTTAGTTTAATGTACCTTGGTTTTTTAATTGCACTCCTCCCACTGCACTGTTGTTCTAGATTGTTTAGTTGTACATAGCCTGTCATACTTACTGTACATAGCATTGTACATAGCCTTTTATACTTTTACACTTTTATACTTTATATATGTCCTGCATGCTCTTATTACTTTCTGTTCTAGTATTTTATATATTATTCTCTGTTTAAAGTTGCACCATCACGCCATAAAAAATTCCTTGTCTGTGAATCCTGTTCATTGACAATGGCAATAAAACCCCTTCTGAAGACCTGCAAGAACATTCTGATCTTTACATTTTCATCAGCTCAGATGTTTTTCACTCTTTGAAAATAGATTGGAGGAGTTAGAAATCTTCTTTTTGTTTTTACAATGTCTGTGAAATAATTGTTAAAGAGATATTCCAGCGTAAAATTAAGTTAGGGTCAAACACACTGTAACACAGAGTTAGTGACCCCTTCAATGAATGTTGCGGACCGCTTGCTTCTCTAGTCATATCAACTTTAGTAACAACCGCAGATAGCAACACACAGCGGGCTCGGGAGCCAGAAACAAACCTCAACCAAAAAGCCACAAATAATGTTCAGAACAGCACCTAACTTCATCAACAGTACATATAGGGTCCCAGCCATAGTACTAGCCACCAAACATCTTTTTAACTTGGCCTGGTTTCTGTAGAAAAGAGACTAAATACAATTCACCTACTCTCTTCCAGCAGCCACTTGTTTGTTGCGAGTCCATCACCGACTGCAGCAGGGTGACGCAGCTCAAGGAAGAACATTTATGATCATTTCTTCATGGAAATACAGCCAGAACTCACAAGAACCCGCAGATTCACGTGCAATCGCGCAATAACAAGTTGTCTCTGCACATAACCATAAAAGCAGTAAATTGTGTCCTCCCAGAGGAGGAAGTCCCCTTTTGGACTTATAAAAACAGTATCCTCTCATCCATGTTGTCATCGGGACGAAATGCTGTCTGTAAACCTTTTACTTGTTTGCCCCCGCCCGTTTGCATTGTGTGAAATACAACTGTGAACTGAACTGTGGAAATAAATGAACTTTTCCACAATATTCTAATTTATTGAGATAAATTGGACAATGTGTACAACATCTCAGTCTAGTTATCCCCTTCAGTGAAGGTTTTGAGATACTTCATGTCTTCAAGGCTAAATATCATCAGTTTTGCACATGCTACTCAACCATGTGAGAAAAATACAAAAGTGAAATTCTACAAGGACCTTCAAAATAAAACATGCTCAAGTAATTTTACATTTTAAAGACAGATATTAATTATAAACACTGTAGTCATATTTGTATTAACAGTGTTTCTATTAACTCTTTGAGGGATCTCTTGGAGGCAGAAGTTAGTTCAGATTTTTTTTTCTCTTCTGCTTCCCAGTGTCTTCCTGTGTTCCTATTAAATGTTTAAGTCGATTTACTTCCTGCCTGTTTGTTAGGAAGAGTTGTGGTTGGTCAGTGATGTAGGATGTGTTTAGAGAGCAGAAAAACACAATCCTAAACCACTCAGCACTGCAAAGACAGATCATCACACACATGTAACAGTGAAGAGATGAGGCAAACTGCACTTTAAAAAGTGTCTACAGAAATGCAGAGGGTGTGTGTCTGTGTGTGTGTGTGTCTGGGTTCCAGGTGCTGTCCCCAGTGTAACCTGAGTCGGACTTTATTAATAAATAATGCATCTGAACCAGTCAGCTCGGACGGTAGGTAGCTACGGCTTCTCCTGCCATTCGCCCTCCAAAGCACAGACACAGACGGCTCATCACAGCAGCTCAGACACAAACAGGGTTTCAGCAGGTTTTGTTTGGTCTGGACTTCAGCGATCATGAATCCTGAATAGTAAGTGTTGTCTTTTTCTCTCTCTCTCACTGTTTAAATTTAAGGCTCTTCACTGGAAGACACTGACATCTGCTCTTTGACACTGACTCTAAGGATCTCAAGTTAAAGGCTCCGGTTTATCGTCCTGGAGCCTCTAGGACCGGCATATACACAGAGTCCAGAAGGGTGTGTTGTTTGCAGTCCTGTGCTTTATGTTAACTCTGTAGTGTACCTTTTCAGAGTGTCATGGCCTCCAGGTTTACAGCAGAGGAAACTTACCCTGCAGTCTGGTTTTCTGCATTCAAAAGCACCTTGCATTTAGATCACTAGGCCTTAGAGGCTCATGGGTATTGCAGTCCTTAGAGACATGTCAACAAACAGGCAAAGGAGAAAGAGGAAATTCTTAGCATCTGACCTCCCGGTCTTCTGTGTCTCGTTTGCTTTTTAATAGATTTTTATGATAACTTGGTTAAAGTGAGAATATATACATGTATATACATGCCAGACATGGTAAATTAACCCTCTTGTTACAGTCATTCATAGAACAGAATTCAGGGTATTCACAAGATGAACCTTGTTTTCATGATTACAAACACGTTTCACCTCGTCCGCTGGTTCACTCTTGTCACATGCTGCAACATGCTCATAACAAGATCAGGAAAAATCGGGCTGAATTATGACATTGCAAACAGAGGTGATTTGACTGTAGTGTAGCCAGATAACCAAAAACATCCAGGTAAAAGTCGACTGCAGTGACTGCTAATGAATATGGATAACACAGCTGTGTGCTGCACAACAGTATCTAGATTTTCTCCAGAGGTTGGAGAGAGAAGTGAATAATTTTGACAGTGGGACAGTTCTTTGTTTGGACTTTAATTTCCAGTTTTATGATCTTACCTTATTCATGACAAACTTCAACAGCTCACACCGCCTGTCTGATGTCTTTAACTCGTACCTGTAAATCTGTCCTTCAGTGACTACCTCTTCAAACTTCTCCTGATCGGTGACTCTGGAGTGGGAAAGTCGTGTCTTCTCCTTCGCTTTGCGGTAAGATTTTAATTTTGTACTTGTATCGATGAAGTTTTTTACGTTTTGTGTTTGATTATATGTGGCACCTTCCAGGATGACACTTACACAGAGAGTTACATCTCCACCATCGGCGTTGACTTCAAGATCAGGACCATCGACATGGATGGGAAGACGGTGAAACTACAGATCGTAAGGGCCTGTGTTTAGCCAAGGATTATTTAAAGACAGCTCCATGTTCTTGTAACCTGATTTTTTTAATCTGTAGGGATGTCTTTCACAGTGGGACACAGCAGGGCAGGAAAGGTTTCGAACCATCACCTCCAGCTACTATAGAGGAGCTCACGGCATCATCATTGTCTATGATGTCACGGAGCAGGTCAGCGTGTTTTTGTTTCATCATCACAAACAAAATAATAGAAGAGTTTGAACATTAACTTCTCTTCTTCTCCTCCTCTTTCTCTCTCTCCCTGCAGGAGTCCTTTAACAACGTGAAGCAGTGGTTGGATGAGATTGATCGATACGCCTGTGAAAACGTCTCCCGGCTGCTGGTGGGAAACAAGTCTGACCTTGTTAGTAAGAAGGTGGTGGACGCTGCTACTGGACAGGTAACAGGCTCCATACAGGGCAGTGAACAGTTCTGATTTAACTTTTTACTTCAGACCCCTACAATAACTTGATGCTTTAAAATAGTGAAAAGACAACTTTACTAGATGTGCACTTGAAGTGTGTTTAGAGTCTGGGTTGTTCTAAGTTCCAGCCATGATGCAGACCAAAGGTTTCTGGGCTGCTGTTAAACAGATTTGGGCTTTCCTAATCATTGCAATTTTAATCTTCCAAAGCCAGAATGGAGCAGACTGCATACAAAGTTATCAGCCTAAAGTGCACCAAGCTTGGTTACCAAGGTGCATCCACGCCTCACTGTGTATCAAAGTGTTTGCAATAATGAATTCAACTTGCAGTAAAAAGACTTTTAAAACAAAATGCAAAGGGTCGAAAAAAGCAACAGATTGCCCTAAAAAGTCTTACAGAAAAACATTGTGCAAAACATTTTATTCAGTTTGCTGCAGTGTCACTGTCTCTTACAAGCACCCATTCAACCCAAGGCTATTTCCAGTTTTATTTGAAATTGCACCAAAGTTTGCAAAGTGTGCATCATGTGGAAAGAAGCAGGACTGAAGACTCGTGGCTATGACCTGAAACTCTTCAAGAAAGCAGAACAGGAACTCTGTTGGAGTTTTGGAAAAACGCGAATTTGAAGCTCTACAGTGTCAGCCCCTTTTTGCACCTGATGCTATGTCTTCTACTTGTATACAGTCTGTGTGCAACTGAGGCAGTCTGCAATGGTAATATTTGCATCACATAAAGTTAATGATATGCTGACACTCACCTGAAAAAGTAAATATTGACCCCAGGAAATCCCCTCTACAAAATAAAATCAATATTTCAATCTGAAAAGCAGATTTCCTTTAGATACCACCAAAATATCAGCTCACACTAATGCTAAAAAAATGTTATCCACCCCCCTGCCATACAAATCATCAGTTTTAGACTCTGAAGGGATGTAATCACTTAGAATATGAGTGCACATTACCACTGACACTTTGGCATATTTTGAAACCTTCTGGTGTCCTCTCTCTGTCCCTGCTCTTCTTCAGGACCTGGCAATGTCGCTGAAGATTCCCTTCCTGGAGACGAGTGCTAAGAGCTCTGATAATGTGGAAAAAGCGTTTCTCACTATGGCCTCGGAGATCCACAAACGAGTGGCCACTGAGGAAGGAGGGATGCAGGGTGAAGGGAAGGAGACCAGGACCCAGGGCCCTAAGATCAACAGTGCCCCTCTGTGGCTGGGAGGAGAAAAACAGACACAGGAGGCCAATAACTGTTGCTAAGCAGGATAACATAAATCCTGTGATATGTACAGTTTTCAAAAGAAAAAGTTGTCATTCAGAAACATCCAGCAGTCTGGGATCTGGACTGAGTAAAAGTATGTTTTGGATAAACTTGTATAAATCAGAGATGTCCAATGGGACATCTCTGAAAAACATTTGAGCTTGACTTCAATGTATATTTTTGAATGTAATACACAGTGACAGCACTATTTAATGAAGGAAGAACGGAGAGATACTAGAGCTCTGCCTTTTGAGTGACTGGAATAGTTTGATGTTAAATGGTCTGTATGCTAGCTTTGACTTCAGGTGTACAGACAAAACCTTCAAAGTGAATATCGAAGTCCTCACTTGGATAAAATCCAACTATTTGATTATAACCAGTAGTGCACATGATTGTGAGAGTTTTTATTCCTCAGACTTCTATATAGCCCGAGGTGTGGCTGTGGATGAATGTTTGGCATCATTACCAACCATGATAATTTAGAGGTCTGTCATATTTATCAGGTTTGAACACGGTTTTCAATTGTGTTTATGTTAATAAAGAAAATGGATTATAAAATTATGGTTACTAACAGTGAGAGCTGACTATCAATGTTTGAGGACAACAGCATGATGTTTAATCTGACATCATGCTGTGGGGGGGGGGTACACAGTACACAGATAATAATGCATCTTACATTTGGAAACTGAGCAAACAGGTGAGTGTAATGCTTACCTTTTTACTACACTGCCACACTTCTTCAAGCAGAGCCATCTGAGGACTTCATCACACCAGTCCTGATGGCTTTTCCTCTGTGCAGCCTGCAGACTGAAGGCTGAATGTTTGTAATCTCCCCAACCCTGACATCATCAGCAGAGACAGTATTCATGTCCAGTATTGATAAAAACTGAATGCCATAGTTGTCATACTTTTAGATATGAAATCTGAAGTTTTTCGTGTATAAGCACAGACTCGTCAAGTTGGCTGCAGATTGACTTTGTTTCAGTTTATTTAAAGCAGGTCGGGAGCACAGCTCTGCTGGATCACTTCAAGGACTAACATCAAAATAAAACAGGAAGGAGGAAAAAAAATGCAGGTGAGCTTGTGTTCATTCCTTCCACTAGATGTCAGTCTTGCTCCGTTATAGACTCTGTTGCAGTTTTTAGATTTACAAACTTGACCTCTTTTACAGAATCAGGACCTTTTTAGTCACATTTAAGGTTTCATTTGTTCCTGCCGCTCTCTTCACTTCTGTTTCTCCACTCTGCCTCATGTTTTACTTTAACATCTTTGTAATCCATTTGATTTTTCTTGTCTTCCAATTTTTCCTCAGTCTCACCCTCCATCAGTCCATCACCTTAAAATCACCCTCTGCATCCTTTCCTCTTTATACCGCAGCTGTTTCTTCACATTTTCCCCTCATAATTTCAGTCCTGTTCTCTAATAAGACCCCTGCTGGCCGCTTACTGGTTCATTTGTCTGTCTGTGGTTATTCTGGGATGGTATTGAGGATGTTTTGGAGAAAAGTGAGCTGAGCTCTGAGTTCTTATACTCACCACATCTGGAAATTTTATACAAAGTCCAACAAACTGAAGCTTTGAATTAAAGAGTTGTTTCTTGGTTTTAAAAATTGAAGGTAATCAAGGTTCCATGGTTGAACAGATTCAGATATATCAGGATTAAAAACAGCATGTTACTGTACACAAAGGTAGCAGAGGGGCAGTCTCATTTTACAAATCAGACAGTTCATGCAGAGTGAACTTGTCTGGTAGGCTTTAAGAAAGCCTCTTTAACACTGCATGTACAAATTAAGGTAATACTGCCACCTGCTGGCTTCTACTAGTTTTACAAGTCAAAAGGAAGTGAAGCTGACACATCAGGGGCCCCAGTTAGTCAGATTAGGTCCAAAGTGTGACCTTATTAAAAAAGCTATTACATATTTAAAACAGATAACTTTGAGTAATTCACAAAGTATGACATTAAAGTTACACAACAATAGTAAATGATAAAATATATTTACAAAGAAATAGTCTGTTTGGATAACACAGTTCTTATCTCAGTAACCAAAGAGAGAGAAGAGTCTTCCACAACAAAGAGTGAAAGCAGAACTTATTTAAGGTAGTTAACTGCTCTGATCTTATTTAAAGGTGGGGTAGGCAGGATCCGAGGAAGTGCCAGTTTTTGGTAGAAATCTTAAATGTAAACACTACCCCTCCCAACCAGTTTTCCCCTCAGCTCCTCCTCTCCCCTCCCTCTCTGCTCCAAGCAAGCCCCGCCCACAAATAGATGCTCTTGCTCGCTCGTATTGTTCCAATTAAATTCAGAGATAATACAGATAAATACTTAAGATAATTTCAAATGGGCCCAGTCAACGTGAAAGTAAAGAGCATTGGTGCTACTGTAGATGTCAACAGACTACCAGCAAACACAATGTTTGCAGGACTTCTACAACTAGGATAGAGTGACATAGTCCAGGACCTGAGGTTAACAGTTTAGCAGGGCTACAACACGCAGCAGGTCCTGTTTGACAAGAAAAATTTCGGTTACAGACACTTGGCTTACTTTGTTAAAGCGGTTTGCTTGTCCAGCAGACAGGTTACAGGGTTCATAAGATCCGGAAGCGTCCCCCATCGTTTATGCTGATGTTGACCCAGCTTTTTAGCTCTTGTCCAGGTGGTCTACCTCCTTTTTAAGCGCTGTGGAGTGTGCCTCACAACATGAGGGAGCAGCGTCCTCCTCACAACCAATCAGGCTGGGGGAGGCGGAGAATGGGTTTGTTTATATTCGGAAAGAGCAGACCGCTCAAAAATTTAAATGTTGACTACACAGACATAACAGAACACAGTGATATCGTGATATTCCCAAATGTCATCAATAACTAATAGCTATTGACTGATATTAAAAGCTTTTTTGTATATACGCCACAACAAAGATGCTTCTTTAAATGATTCCTGCCTACCCCACCTTTAAGGTGGTAAATTGCCCTGATATTATTTAGGGTGGTAAACTGCTCTGCAGGTTAGGAGCATACACTGGATTTCAGGTGAAATTTAGACACACCAAGAGCAGCTGATTGGCTGACTATGGAGAAGTTCATCTCAGTAAGGCGGTGCTGATCGATTAAGAGCCCTAAGTCTACCTGTCAAATTTAATCAAACTGTCAAACTAAACACCAAGATCCTAAACAGAGGGATGAAAACTAGAGGCCAACAGGCCAAAAAGTAGACACATGAATTGATCTGTTTTAAAAGCTCCATTTGACCCTTAATAATAGCAATGCAAGCTGCAAGAACTGAGCTCTTCAACATTTGCTCTTAGAAAAGCATGTGAAGAAAACACAGAGTATAATAAAGGCTGTCTCTTTTTCTGCTTTTTCTGTTTGTGTTCCCTTGGCGTGAGTATTTTTAGTCATATTGAAGATATTCTTGCATCTTTGGGCCCTAAAGTCAGAGCTGGGAGTGTTAGTGTTGGAACAGACAAATGTTCAGATCTGCTTTAGAAGCTGATTTCCTTTTACCAGCAGTTAGACTTGACTTCTCCTTCAGGAGGCACACAGCGGTCAGGATAATAAGGCTGATTGATGCTGCTGGTGAAGGGTCAGCTAACCCGTCATCAGGGGACCTATTCCTGCACCGGGGGAGACTGTGGAAAGCAGGCCAGTGTTAGGTGGTGCTTCCTTGTGTTTCTTTAATGATAATCCCTCTTAAGGTTTATTGAGAATGATTTCAGTATGAGTTACTGTCCTATAATCTTACTGCTGTGTTCTTGCCCAGGGACCTGTTTTAAAATCTGCTTTTGGTCCTTATGTTTCATATGAAGGTAAAAACTAGTCTAGAGCATGGAGCTGATGTTGAGCACTATGACACATATTGTTCCTTTTATGCATCCGAGAGGCCTCAGGTGGTGTTTCTACACCTCCCAAGCACTGATCTAATTGGATTTGGAGCTCACCTGGTGGGTTTTCACACCAGCTGATGAGTGATGAAGACCCTCCATAGTTCTGTCAATTGAAGCTGTCATCCAGCAGGGTTTATTGTTGAATTTTTACTTCAAAGATAAGTATTACACATTTATGACCAGATGTCTTAGTTCCCTCCAAAAATACAAGCATTAGGTTTTTTGTCCTGCTCTGTCACATATAATTACTCTGCACATTACTATAACAATCAGTGCAGTGTTGATTTATCTGCATATGATTTATTGTTAAAGCTGGTTCTCACCGATGAGTCATGGGGATAGCAAGACTTATATCCATATGTTGCTTTTTGACAGCAGCTACCGCAAACACTTGGCCGTCTAAAAACCTCCTGGTATCCTTTTCCCCTGTGAGATAGTCAGAAGTGAAAATAATGTCTTCATGGTGTTTATGAGGCTGTTTACCAGTCCTGATCAAAACTGCTGTGAGTGCAGCCAGAGTTTTTCCCTCTTTATTAGAGATGCTGCCCCATTAGTCTTTATCAATTAAAAAGTAAAAGAAAGTTAGCATTAGCATCACCAAAGGCCAAACAGTAGTTACCATCTTTGTTGTGGTCTGTCCACCAACAAGAAAGCTGTATCTGTGAGCAGCTGACCAGTAGGGGTCCAAACAGAAGCTAGGCTTTCCCATCTAAGTGGAGCAGTGAAGGTGATAAAAAACCCGTTGAAGAAAATATTCACTAGAAAATCACCTCGAGGAAAATCAAGGACCACAGGGGCTACTGACTGCCAGGGTGTGTACATTATGATGACATTCTTCAGAGATCTCAAATAATTAATACTATTAATACTATTGTGATATTATATAAAGAGGAGCACACTTAAGGTCCTTCACACCAGGACTGTTTTTGTTGTGCGTTTATTTTGGACGTCAAATTTTTTTTTTCGAACCCGTATCCTGTCAAGTTCAAGTTCAAGTTCTCGTTTCTTTTATCGCCACATGGCTAGGCCGGTGGAATTTTTCACAGTGCAGGTGGTAGCTGCAACAATACACCACATTAATTTAAACAGACATTAAACAATCCACAGGAAAAAAAAAAAAAAA